CCTAATGTGGACTGGCTGGTATTGCAGTCTGGCCTGGCATAATCCACACACTATTAGGCCAGACCTACTTAATCCACCTCCTGTCCTAGCTGGAACAGTGGCCTTTCCTGATTGACCCTCACCCATTCTGGTTCTTACTATTAGTTGCTACAGTGCAGTCAAACCTGGTCCATACCCAGACATAGCTCATGCATGGCTCAGCAGAGGTAGAGACCTAGCCCAACCCATCCTACACCCATCTTGGTTCTCACAAGTTCTAATGGGTGCTGGAGTCTAGCCCAGTCTTGCACGCTTCAGATGCAATCCTTGCCCATGCTGAGGAAGACTGAAGCCATGTCCAGACTAGACCTCAGCCCCAACTCTGGCCCATGTTCATCAGTTGGACCCACAACCCAGCCACGGCGTCCCTTTAGCTTCCCAACCAGGCCTGATCCTAGCTATTGACTTTGCATGTGCTGGTGCTGGCTCTGACCCAGCTTGGCATAGCTGACCCCTGTCTTGGCCTTTGCCTTCTGATGCTGTAGCCTGGCCTGGCCCCATTGGTCTCTAGCCCCAACTCTCACTGGCAGGTGCTGCAACCTGGCTCTGCTCAGTCTGCTTTCTTCCATGGATCATGCAAACCGGTAGGCGTGACAGCCTAGCCCGGCATGATCTGCACTCCATCTTGGTTTCTGCACTTGCCAGTGGGCTATGGTTTGCTTGGTCCCACTCGATCCACCCTCTTCCAAAACCAACTCACACATTTGCTGATGGATGGAACTACCCTGCCCAGCCTGCCCAATACCCAGGCCTGGACCATGTGCTTACCAGTGGGAGCTATGACCCACAAAGGGTGTTTCCCAGGTTCTCCCACTCAGGCCACTCCCAGACCCAAATTTCACCCATCCAAGTGGGTGCTTGGCCCTTTCCTGACATGGCCTGCCCCATCCGTCCTGGCCTTTGTATGAGCTCGTGTGGCCCAGCTCCATCCCACACCCTGTTTTAGGGTGCTCATGTAGGTGCTGCAGCCTAGACCTGCCCTACATGTTCCTAGCCCCAGTACTGGTGAGGATCGGTGAGTTCCATGGTCACGCCTAGCTCAGCCCATCACCATCCTAACTCTCAAGCTAACCAGCAGGACTTGTAGTTCCAGAAGGTTGGACCCCACATATCCGCCATAGAATCCACCCCCTGGACCTGGTTCTCTTGCTTGCTGTTTGGTGTGATGGCCCAGATTAACGTGACCCACCCCCTGATCTGACACTCACTGTCAAGGGACTGGGATCTAGTCCTACCAGAGAGGCCCCCAGCCATAGCTTGCATGTGCATTGGCATGTGGTGGTCAGCCATGTTCCATGCTAATAAGCCCAACCCAAACTTCAACGTGGGCTGGTGCATCAGTCTGACCCATAAAGATCTTCAGGTCTCACCTTTCTAAACTACTAGGTCTCAGTCCTCTGCAAATACAGTAGCCCTGTTGTTGGGGGTCCCTCAGGATTCATGCCTCACCTACATGTACAGTTCCCTTATCCATGGACGTTCCTAGGCAGTAATTCCGTACACCCAAGATCCCAGAGCTTCATCTACTGGAAGGCCAGTAGATGAAGAGCAGCCCCAGTAGGTGCTCTGGCTGCCTACAAACCCAGGACCCTCCCCCGCCTAGCAGCGGTAGATGACGAGCTAAGATCCTCAGCAGAAAGCCTGGGCCGGCATGGGTACCCCCAGCCACATGTCTGTGGCTCAGACTTACCTGGACTCTGCCCACCAACATAGCGACAGTGGGCAGAGTCATGGTCCTGAGCATGCCCAGAACTATCCAAGTTCCATCCTCGGCATGGTCACTGTGGACAGAGGAAATTCTTGGACCTCAGGCTTGGACAAGCCCAGGACCTTATCCCTGCTTAGCAGCAGTGGATGGGGGTGTTAGGATCCCCAGCAGGAAACCACACGGTTCGGGGATCCAGACACCTGCACCACTGCTCAGACTTACCTGGGCTCTGCCCCATATTTTATTTTCTTAATGTACCCATTTTTTGCTAGACACTTACATTGATTTGTTTGGATCAATGGTGCTGCAGTGGACATGGGACTGTAGATATCTTTTCGGCATTCTGATTTCATTTCTTCTGAATTCGTATGCAGAAGCAGGATTGCCACAGTTTTAGTTTGGCCCTAGTTTTAATTTTTTGAGGCGCCTCCATGCTATTTCTCATGACGGCTCCATTTCCAATTGTATCGTTATCAGATCCCTCTAGTGTGTTTTAGGAGCTTCCCTTTACACTGACACTGGAACACTAGTCACCAGCTCTATTTTCTTCATTCTACCAATTTTGTGTTTTACCCACAAAGATATGGGAAAATTTGGCCAAATACCTTATTAAAGTCAAGATTACTAGAGTACGCCAAGAAATCTGCAGAAGGGGCTGGCACGGTGGCACAGCAAGTCAAACTGCTGCCTGTAGTGCCAGTGTTCCATGGAGGAGCTGATTCGAGTCCCAGCAGTGGCACTCCTGATCCAGCTCCCTGCTAATGTGCCTGGGACAGTAGCACAGCATGGCCCAGGTGCCTGAGTCCCTGCTGCCCTTGTGGGAGTCCTGCAAGAAGCTCCTGGTTCCTCGCTTTGGACAGGATCTCCAGCTATTGCAGCCATTTGGGGGAGTGAACCAGGCAATGGAAGGTCTCTCTCTCTCTCCCTCTCTCTCTGTATGCATGTAACTCTACCTTTCAAATAAATGCAGCTTTAAAAAAACCAGTTTATTGAAAATATGTGTTATGGGAAAACTACACATATACTTAAAATGATTGGCACCAAAATAAACGTATCTTTCTAAAAAAAGATTTCTTTTCATTTATTTGAAAGGCAGAATTACAGAAGCAGAGACAGAGATCTTTCACATGCGGGTTCACTCCACAGGTGGCCGCCGCAGTTGAGGCTGGGCCAGACAAGCCAGGAATTCATCCAGATCTCCCACATGCCTGCAGGGGTCCATAAACTTGGGGCATCCTCTCTGCCCTCCCAGGCAGTTAATGGGAAACAGAATAGGAAATGGAATAGCCGGAACCTGACCCAGCACCCATGTGGGATGTCTGCGTTGCAGATGGAAGTTTAATCTGTTATGCCACAATGCTGGCCCCATAAATATCGTTTAATTTTATTTTCCATGAACTTTCTGAAATACCTCATACTTCATAGCATTCTCTTGATTTTTTAAAAAGATTTATTTTCATTGCAAAGTCAGATATACAGAGAGGAGAGGCAGAGAGGAAGATTTTTCTGTCCACTGGTTGGCTCCTCAAGTGACTGCAACGTCCAGAGCTGAGCCAAGCTGGAGCTAGGAGCCAGGAGCCGCTTCTGGGTCTCCCACACGGGTACAGGATCCCAAGTCTTTGGGCCATCCTCGACTGCTTTCCCAGGCTACAAGCAGGGAGCTGGATGTGAGGCGGAGCCGCCAGGATTGCAACTGGCATGCATATGGGATCTTGGCGCTTTCAAGGTGAGGACTTTAACCACTAGGCTACTGCGCCTGGCCCATTCTCTTGATTTAAAAGTATAATAACGCTTCCAAAGAAGAAGAAGAAGAAGAAAAAGAAGACGAACAAAAGATAAGATTACTTTGCTCTTGGCTCTAAGTCCATTGATTGCTTTTATCTGCCCCTTGCTATTCTAAACAAGCGTGTATTGTTGAGTGTGGTGAGTGCTGAGGATGCTCGCACAAGGTCCAGCTCTCTCCTGCAGCACACGGGGTGGGACTGTGCCGGAGTCCAGCTCCAGCTGAGTTCGGAACTCGCGAAGGGTGCATGGATGAGGCGCAAAGAAAGAGATGGACCACTAGTAACTCTTCATCATCATAATGGACCACGCACAAAAGCTGTCCGCTTTATTTATACAAAATCAGTCAAACTCTGGCTCAGGCTTTTTACGTCATGCTCAAGCGGGGGTTTCTAAAGATAACTCTGCCATTTGTTTCACCTAAGGCTAGGTTGCTGTTCATCTGGCACCTGGCGCCTGGCTAGGAAAAGGTTTTCAACAGATGATGCATATCAGTCAGTAGCACATTCCTACCACAATTGGTCTTGAGATAGTCAAGGAAGGAAGGGGCCTAAAAGATCAAAGAAAGAAGGAAAGAATAGATTCCCACTACACCTGAAGATAGAACTCCCTTCATTAGCATAGGATCAAAAGGGGAGTTAGCACCCTTGGTTAGCATATTGCCACAGGACGCAGCCCTAACAGCAATAATAGCTCTTTGGCTAATAGCTCTTTGGCACCAGCAACATTAGCTTCTAAGTTCCTATTGATATTTAACAGTAACTCCGCAGAGGCAGACAATGCCTAAATAGATTACAGAATACTCAGCGGGGTTGTCCAGTGTCCATGCAAAGGGAGGCAGAGCTGCATTCAGGTGTTGTAGAGACATCCACCGGGCCTTGCCACACAGCGGGAAGTTCCTTGCAACCTTGCCTGCAATGGAGCCATGCTCTTCACACCTTCCTGTCTTCCACACCCATCACATGGATCCCAGCAGGACTGTGCTTTCCCACCTGTTGAAGTTCCAAGTGTTCACACTACTTTGATCAGTGCCATGAATAGAAACGAACTGTGTCATTCTGGGGGGAGAACGAATCTGCTCCTCCCCGTGTCCCGTGGCTTGGCAACCAGACTCTCCCAGTCCAGACCCCAAGGTGAGCAGCAACGGAAGAGACTTCAGCTAAGGTGTCACGGACGTGTCGCGTGAGCAAGAAATGAAGAAGCAAGAAGCCACTGTTATTTCAAACCACCGAGGTTTGGGAATCACTTGTTAGTGCCACATAATCTGGATTATTTTGACAGATAAATCATACTATGATGTGTTGCATTTACCAGTTTGTGTTTTCTGGAATCCACAGGCAACCTCACCTTTCGCAATTCAGGCGAGTGTGCGCATCTATGGTTTTCTGTAGAATCTCTTGTTCTCCATAAGTGATTTGGGACAAGCTAACTGGAATCGACCTAAAATGACTGCGACTTCACCACTGCTCTCCGAGCTTGGACGTCAACGCTTTCTTAGCAATGTCTGTTCCACTTTTCAATTCTCTGTGCTGGAGAAGGCAGAAGCAAGAAGCCTAGCATTCATATTTAGCCTTTTTTCTTATTTTGCTCCTATTAATGTTCTTACTTTCAATAAAGCTTTAAAATCCCTCTAGATTTTCTTAACGTTAGCGTTTTCCCCTAAGTATTCCGTTATTCTGAGCATTCTCTTACCCTTCTGAAACGATCGCATAGCACTTCCCAAATCCACAGCTTGAAAAAAAAAATTATTTTTGGGGGGGGACCATCATCAATGGTTCCTGGTACATGATGAGGGTCTCAGTGAGTTCCAGTGTTACTCTTATTTTTTCACAGATTTATTTATTTTTATTGGAAAGTCAGATATTCAGAGAAGAGAGACAGAGAGGAAGGTGGTTAGCTCCCCAAGTGGCCACAATGGTTGGAGCTGCGCCAATCCGAAGCCAGGAGCCAGGAGCCTCTTCCGGGTCTCCCACATGGGTGCAGGAAGCTGTCCTCAACTGCTTTCCCAGGCCACAAGCAGGGAGCTGGATGGGAAGCAGGGCTGCCAGGTTTAGATCCGGCACCCATATGGGATCCTGAGACGTTCAGGGCGAGGACTTTGGCCGCTAGGCTATGGCACTGGGCCCGTTATTATTACTTTCAATTTTAAGTAAGCCTTATTTATATAATTTGCCTCTGATTTTTGTTCTCATTCTAACGTTCGAGTTTACTAAGGCTTTTCTTTTTAACACCTACCCAATATCTAACATTCAGTGCTCATTTTTAGAAGTTTCTGTACATTTTAATGTTAGTCTGTTTAGTCACATTTTTCCTGACTTCTGTCAACAAATGCTTTCTTAATTCTAAGGGACGCGTGTGACTGTCTCACTTCTTCCTTGTAATATTTAGTGTATCCCAGTGTCTGGTTGAATTGCTATCCAGTCCTTCTGTAATGATCAGAATTAAACCAGAATAACAACTCTTGTCTTTTTATATCCTCCTGTCTTGTGTATCAATTGTTCCAAGAATCAGGGTTGCTCTGAAAATTCTGGAACGCTATTTCTGTCTGTGCTACTTAAGCATCATGTTTACTCTCACGCATGAGCATTTAAACTGCTAAAAAAAATCCTTAGGAAATCCTCATTTTCTCAGACCTAACTGGGCAACAAATTCAGATATGCAAAGTTCTTCCCTCTTCCAGTTTAAGGCCTCCCACCCTCTTCAGCTCACACCCTCTCTTTATCTCCCTCCCCCTCTTGAACTCTTTCTGTATGTTCAACGTTATATCCATATACTTAATCCCTTGTCTGTGTACAGTGCTCTAACACTCAGGACCCACTTACAGTCATACACATAAGGTCATAGCTACACTTTTTTTTCCAAGTAAAGCAGGCAGGGGGAAAAGAGATTCAAGGCAAGGAAAAGGAGCAAGGCCACGTGAGGACAGAAAGACAAGGGAAGGCGTGTGGCCAGAGTGAGCGATGCTGCTGGCTGCCCTCCACCAGGACATGCACAGTAAGGGTCAGCCCTTCACGGAAACTGTGTGCCGATTTAGTTCCCCTCTTCCATTTCTCATTCATATGACAGCTGTTTGGTTTAGACGTTCAATCTGTTAAGAGTTTGTCTCTGCGCAGCAAATTGGCCCTTTGGCAGAATTCAACTCTTCCACCACCTTAATAAACAAACAGTCCAACAGGCTGGCGCCATGTTAGGGAAGACACAGAAGCAGGAAGGGGAGCAGAGGAATGTGTTTCAGATTTCTTCCCTTCCCAACTTTTGTTTCTGGAGGACCTGTCTGGGGCCTGCTTTCCATCGCCCCCCAAATCCTGAACATGAACACACAAATAGAAGAGTTACAGGACCGGGCCGTCATCAGAATAGCAGCTCATTTACCAGACCTCATTGTCTATAGCGATTTCTCTGCCCAGAGACCCACTGTGGATTATGTTGATGGAGTCCTCATGTTTGTGGATATTTCAGGCAAGTGCCAAAGGGATGTTTGTTTGATATGCATCTGTAACGGGCCGGTGTGGGATTGCACTTGGTAAAGTTTGGATCTCATGGGCCATGACAGCAGGTGGTCCCCACTGAGAACACTGGAGGGAATGGATAAGCCGAGAACCCGGCCCCCTTCCATCTTCTCTTATCCAGCACTTTAAGTCATGGGCACCTGTTGAAGAAGTGCAAGTTCCATGCCTGGAACTTCAGGCTCTGGTTTTCTTGCCTGAGCTTCACCACTGTATGCCCCAAACTCCGCACCCTCTTCAGAAGTGTTTGGAATCCCCTCTGTTTTCATCACCTTGGAAAGTTCTCTTTCCAGTCAATCCCCAGTCTACAAGCTGAGAATTTGGAAGGCAGATTCCTAGAGCCTTTCCCTGACTCCCAAAATAGTAAGCACAGGCAGAGGAGACCACGTGTCTGATGCCTGACCAGCCACAGGGATCTCTAAGAAACTCCACCCAGTTCTTGCATACTGAGGCCCTCTCTTCTCAAGCACAGCTCTCTTCTGGCTCTGCCTGGGCCTCTGAGCAGCTAAGAGAGCCAGCTGCGTATGTATTCCAGGATTTACAGCAATGACGGAGAAGTTCAGCATGGCCATGTACATGGACCGAGGGGCTGAGCAGTTGGTGGAGATTCTCAACTACTACAACAGCGCAATTGTGGAGAGTGAGTGGTCCCGGCGGCTTCCGCCTGCAGCAGTGTCACTGCGCTTCTCCTGTTTGTGTCAGAGCACAACAGCTTAGCACCTTTCATTTTCTTGATAAAATATGTATGAAACAAGTCCTTTTTTTTTCTGAAATATAAAGTAAAACAGATATAGTAGACTCAGGTGTTACGCAAGATACCTGAAGGAATCATTGCATTAAAAGGATGAATTGCATACTTTTTTTTTTTTTAAGAATTGTAGTAGCAATACTTCCAGTTACAATCAGCATTTCCAAATAAATTTGCAAAGTTAAGAAGATTTACTTATTTAAAAGGCAGAGCTACAGAGACAAGGAGAGATAGAATCTTCCATTTGTTTGTTCACTCTCCAAATGTTGACGACAGCCAGGACTGAGCCAGGCAGAAGCCAGGAGCCCAGCACTTCTTCCAGGTCCCCCAGGAGGGTGCAAGGGCGCAAGCACTTGAGCCATTTTCCACTGCTTTGCCAGGCATGTTAGCAGGTAATTGAGCTAGAAGTAGAACAACCAAGACTTGAATGACATGCATATGGAATGCTGGCCTTGCAATCAGCAGCTTAACTTGCTTTTAAAACTAGCATCAGCATAACTTAGATGTAGTCATTAAGAGGTTTTAGTATTAAAAAGTGAGAGTGATTTATAACACCTGATAGAATATGAAGCATGCACAGCTGGTGGAGGAGTGGGGTCCCTTCTGTTTCTGCCCACCTCTTGTTTGCATTATCGATCTGAACCACTCATGAAGAAAAGGGTTTATTCCATTTAGGCAAACTCTGGGCCTGCTGTTTTATCAGACTCTGTTTGTTATACTGTCCTAGTGGTCCCTACCAGACAAGATCAAATGCACAAGCCGTGGATGATTCCTTTGTGCCTCCCACTCAGCACAGCAGGTGCTCAGCAAATTTGTCCTGATGCATAAATAACAGAAAAACAGTCCAGTGATGCAAACAAAATGGCAGGCTGGTGACAAAGTAACCCAAGTTGACTATGATTGTGACTTCCTTATTTCTTGGCCTTTAGTTTCACACACCCACCCATGCTCATGCAAAACCCAGTCTGTTACACTTATTGATCAGTAAAAAGAATTCCTGGATTGTAAGAAAGAGCTGGCACTTAGACTACTGGTTAGCATGCAGGCTAAGATGTGTGGGTCCTGATCAGATTCTCTGGGATTGGAGCTGAGCTCTGGCCCTGGGTTCCAGCTTCATGCTAAACAGTTCTAGTAACTGGACTCCTGTCCCATCCCCATGTGGGTTTCACTACACTCCCCCACCCTCTCAAATAAATAAATATTAAGGGTCAGCACTGCGGTGCAGTGGGTTAAGCTGCAGCTATAACAGTTGCACCCCTTCCAGTGGGCCGGGTGAGCCCTGACCACTCTGCTTTTGATCCAGCTCGCTGCTAATGCAGGATGGAGTCCCCAGCTCTTGGCTTCGTCCTGGCCCAGGCTCTCCTCACTCTGTTGCTCTGCCTTTCAATGAATGAATAAACTTTTACGTATGTGTAGTTTTAGAGGATTCCCCATCCTAGAAGGAAGGCAGCTCGTCCCAGGCTCCCAGCAACCCTGCCTTCCTCTTCCCTGTCTTTTCCCGTATCTGACTCTGCATGCTTGCTCCACGGCTAAGGGAACAGGACCCAAGTGGGCTGAGTGAGCCAGCAGCTGGCATGGCTGTTCTCCCAGCACAGCTGCTGTCCTGGCAAGAGACAGGTTCTTCTCACAGCTTTAAGGAGCCAGAGTTTGACCTCATCTATTGTTGTTTTCCCAGAAGTATTGATTTTTGGAGGAGACATCCTAAAATTTGCAGGTACGGAGGCTGCCTGGCAGGGAGGGGATGAGGCGGGAGTAGGGGCTGCTGGTGCTGGGCTGTGAAGGAGGTTACGTCAGGTGGCTGTTTAGGGGATGTTTGCGGTTTCTGTGAAGGTGGCCTACAATAGGAACTAAGAGCCAGGGCAGGTCAGATGCCCTACTGTGTGCACGTGTGTGTCTCTCACAGGTGATGCATTGCTAGCCCTGTGGAAGGTGGAGCGAAAACAACTGAAAAACATTATCACGGTGGTAACTAAATGTAGCCTGGAGATCCAGGAATTCTTTGAGACCCAGGAGTCCGAAGAAGGCCTAGATGTGAGAGTTAAGATAGGTAAGCATCTTACAAACAAGAGGGTGCTGCAGCCTGATTCCTGGGGCATTTCTGAAGGAAAAACAGTGGAGCCCGGAGGCTGAACTCCATCACTTTGCATGCAGTTTTGAAAGCAGGTGGACCAGAATGTGAATTGTTGGTTCCCTCACTTGCCAGTTGAGACAATGTGGGCTAATCATGGTTAGTATGGCACTTGGCATGTAGTAACCATTCAACAAGAACGTCTTTATTGCTGTTATTGCTGTTGTTATTGCTACAACTTTCTGCTTGTTGAGGTTGTGCAGCATGAAGTACAATAGAGAGTAACTCGTCATTATTTGGATTCAGCAGTGACACGAGACTAGTCATCCTTCACTCTATAGGAATGATGCACAAGGAAAGCTCAACAGCTCAGTCTGCCCTGCAGTTCCAGCTTCATGCAGGGCTTTGTGGAATCATGCATAGAAAAGGAAGACACTTCAGGCAATGGAACCATGGTGTAGCAGGCTAAGCCTCCTCCTTCAATGCTAGCATCCCATTTGGGTGCTGGTTCAAGTCCCATCTGCTTCTCTTCCAATCCACTTTCCTTCTTGTAGCCTAGGAAAGCAGCAGAACATGGCCCAGGTACTTGGGTCCCCAATCCCATTGTGAGACCCAGAGGAAGCTCCTGGCTCCTAGCTTGGGATTGGTCCAGCTCCAGCTGTTGTGGCCATTTGGGAAGTGATTCAGTGGAAAGAAGACCTCTGTCTTTGTCTCTCCTCCCTGTAACTCTGCCTTTCAAATAAAAATACATAAATGTTTAAAAAATGAAAAAGAGAAAGAGAATGAAGATACTTCAAAAAAGGAATTAAAAATTCAGGGGGTGCGTATTTAGCTCTTTAGTTAAGAAGCCTGTGTCCTGTATCAGTGGGCCTGGCCTGGGTTCCCAGCTCTGGCTCCTGGCTCCAGCTTCCTGCTGACACAGACCCTGGGAAGCAACATTGATGGCCCAAGTCTCTGGGTTACTGCACCCACAGGGGAAACTTGGGTTGCCCTTCCAGCTCCAGGCTCCCCCAGGCCCTGCTGAGATGGATATTTAAGAAGGGGATCGGTGGGAGCTTGGTGTCTGTCTTTCTGTCTGTCAAATAAAGAAAGAGACAATGAGAAGTCTTTTTCCTGCAAAAATTTAAATCCGTACAGATTTTTCGTAAGACACATTTTCTGTGAATTTTAAAAAACATGCCTCCATTTTACTTAAGACACAGAGAATCTTCCACCTGTGCTTTCACTACCCTTCAAATAAATCTAAAACAAGTCAAAACCCTGAAAGTACAGTCTAAATTCACCGGAGTTTTTGCAGGTCTGGGTCCACCATTTCTCAACTTGCCTCTTTGGCATATCGCTGGGTGGAGCGCTGTTCAGTGATGGAATTCATGAAGTTCCTCCCAATGATGCATTAACACAATGTTGTTGGATCAAATCGTCTCCAGGGCATAGGACTGGAAAGATCTTACTGTGGGGGTCCAGAGTGATGGGTCAGTGGCTAAATCCTCACCTTGCACACTCTGGGATCTCATAGGGATGCCAGTTTGTGCCCCAGCTGCTCCACTTCCCGTGAAGCTTCTTGCTTATAACCTAGGAAAGCAATAGAAGATGGCCTAAAGTCTTGGGTCCCTGCACTCATGTTGGAGATCTAGAATATGTTCCCGACTCCTGACTTCAGATCACTCTGGCTGTTATGGCCGTTTGAGGAGTGAACCTGCAGATGGAAGATCTTTCTGTCTCTCCTTCTCTCCATAAATCTGATCTGACTTTCCAATAAAAATAAATACATCTTGAAAAAAAGAAAAAGAAAAGGATATCCCTGTGTAGGATTATCTGATATGGATAAGACTTTTAATGTACAATTATTGGGCTTCTTCTAAGGGGTGCCCCTGGTTTCCCCCCTCATTCTACCTCACAGTCTTCCCTCTTTGTCCCTTGGGAGAAGACTGGGCATGGCACTTTTACAAGGAGCTCATTTTCCCGGTCCCGTAAGTTGTTTGCCTCACCTAACGTCCTGACCCTAGTGGCCAGAATTCAAAACCAGACTTTGAAAAAATTATTTAAAATGTTTGGATTAGCAGGTAATATATACATATTTTAAAGAGATGTCAATGCCACATTTGAACACATATGTATATCCTAAGCCAACCATACCAGGCAACCAGCCTTTGCATTTCCTTATCTTCTTATCTTTTATTTTTGTTTGGAATCTGCCGTTTCCTCTGTTCCAATTCTTTTTCAACTTTCCTTCCTTCTTTCCTTCCTTCCTTCCTTCCTTCCTTCCTTCCTCCCTCCCTCCCTCCCTCCCCTCTCTTTTAAAGATATATTCGTTTATGTATTTGAAAGGCAGAGTGACAAAGAGAAAGACACATCTATTCAATAGTTCACGCTCCCAAATGTCTGCAACACCCAGGGCTAGGCCTGGCTGAAGCCAAGAACTCATTCTGCTCTCCCACACTTGAGGCAGGGACCCAAGGACTTGGGTCATCATCCTCCACATTCCAGTCATGTTAGCAGAAAGCTGAATCCGAAGTTGAGCAACTGGGACTCAACCTAACACCCAGAAATAGGATTCCGGCATCTCAAGATGCCACTTAACGTGCTGTGTCACACCGCCACCTCCTGTTGCAATTCTTTATATAGAATAGAAAATAGCACTGTAACCTAGAGCCTATTACATTTACCCTATGTTTTAGAACCCATTATCCAACTTGTCCCACCCCTTTTCCCTATCTCCTTGGCCTCTTGTAATGACTTATAAAAATTAATTACCTTATATGAAAAGCAGAATTATAGGGAGGAGAAACAAAGAAACTGTCCATCCACTGAGGCACACATACTTGGACCATCATCTGTTCTCTCGCAGCATGCAATAACAGGAAGTCAGGACTCGAATCAGTGTTCCAACATGGATACCAACATTGCAGGTGGTGGCTAAACCCTCTGTACCACACAGCTGGCCCCAACTGTAGTACAGGATGGGCACAAGTTAAACAGAGTGGGGGATCCAGCGTGCGTGGATACTGAGACTTAAAACCAGGCTTCATGCCTTTAGAGCAGTAGGCAGTGACCTTTTTTCCTTTTTTTTTTTTAAAGATTCATTTATTATTTTTTTTAACTGGAAAATCAGATATACAGCGAGGAGGAGAGACAGAGGAAGATCTTCCATCCACTGTTTTACTCCCCAAGTGGCTGCAACAGCTGAAGTTGAGCCTATCTGAAGCCAGGATCCAGGAGCCTCTTCCAGATCTCCCATGTGGGTGCAGGGACTTGAGCCATCCCAGGGTTTTGAGCCATCCTCGACTGCTTTACCAGGAAGCTGGATTGGAAATTGATGTACCAAGACACAAACTGGCAACCATATGGGATGATGGTAATGCAGACAGAGGATTAGCCCGTGGAGTTACCACAACCTTTGTAGATATTTTTATCTCCATTCTATATATATAGAAAACTGAGAACCAATTGCCAAGCAAGAGATGTGATTTGAATCTTATTCTGTCTAAATCAATTTTTCCACAGGCTGCACACTTTTATGATATGTGTCGGTTTAAATGCTTAATTACACCAAAATGCCGTTACATCCTGGAAGAAATCTTTGTGAGACAAGCCTGACGTGTGGCAGCTGCCTTCCTTGCGTGTGGGATGAATGTCAGAATGCACCTGCTGCCTTCATCTCAGCACTGACACATTACCTGTAGGGCTTGCAATTGTTCCACTGTGCAAGATTTTTGAAACACAGAAAAGCCACCCCCTGCTTCCTTCCCACCACCAAGAAATATACTACAAGCTGAAAGCCAGGCCCGTGGGAATGGCGTAGAAGGATTCTGTGAGTCACTGGGAACATTGTGGGTAGCAATCATAAATGTATGATGAAGAAGTACAGCTAATGGAGCTGAAAAGAAGCAAAAGACAAACCTGTCGTGACTTTAAGAAGGCTTGCTCCTACACATAAAGAATGGAGGTTATGGCGCTGGTATCTGGCACAGTGGCTAAGATGCTACTTAGGACACCGCCTTGTATATCAGAGTACTTGGGCCTGAGTCCTGGCTCAGTTCTGCACCCCAAGAAGCAGCAGCTGGTGGTGCAAGCCCTGTGTGTCTGCCACCCACATGGGAGGTCTGGATTGAGCTCCGGGCTCCTAGTCATTTGGGAAGTAAAGCAGCAAATATGAGTGCTCTCTCTCTTTCTCCTTCTCTCTTCTGTCTTGCTGCCCCACAAATAAATAAGATTTCCTGAAAGACAGAGGCCTTGGGTTGGGCATTACACAGTAAGTTAAACCACTTCTCCACATGCCAGTATCCTATATAGGCATTGGTTTGAGACCCAGCTTCTCTACTGCCCATCCCACTCCCAGGTAATGCACCAGGGAAAGCAGTGGGAAATGGTCCAAGTACTTGGGGCCACCACCCATCACCCATGTGGGAGACCTGAATGAAACTCCTGGCTTCTGGGTAGCATGAGCCATTTGGGAAATGGATGGAAGCTTTCTCTTTTTCTCTATAACTCATGAATAAATCTTTAAAATAAATCAGTAGAAGTGCCTAGAGATACTTGCGGCCCAGTTTTCCAAACTAGAACTCAGCACACATAGTCTGACAGGATGATCTTTTCATAGTTGGTTAGGGCACATAGGGTCAAGGGCTACAGGAAAGTGGGTAAGACCATTGTTTCCACATTCTTTGTTTTTTTCTTCCTGTATCTGGGGAAAGGTGGAGAGACAAAGGGAGAAGCCACACCCACCGTCCTAACCATTCCAGGGTTTCTGATGTGGGGCATGCTCTGAAGTCACTGCTCAAGTGGGTTTGATAGTTCAGTAATTCTGAGTTACTGCCAGTCTCGCCGTTCCAAGCACAAGGAAATCTCTCCAGAATCCACTGGCTGACATAGTTCACCTAAGAGTCGCCATTTGCTCAGATTTTCACTGCCAACACGTGGCTGGGGTAGTTGATTGATTTGTTCTCTGACAGGATATTTTAAAAATAGTTATGAATTAATTCATCAAAAATTTGAAAAGTCATTGGATTAGTTGAACATTTCAAGTGAGCTTTTATGAGAAGAATTAACTGACATGGCATGAAGCCGTCCTGGACAGGTGAAGCATGGCGGTGACGCCCTCTGACCTAGCTGTCACTTTCTTCTGGAAGACCTGCTTCACAGTGTCTTTGGAGAATCTGATACTTCTGTGCTGTTGGGGGAGGTTTTCCCCTCATTGGTTTGCTGTGTATTCATTCAACAAAATTCAAGGCTAATAATTTGCAGGAATGATTTAGAATTTCTCTTCCTTGTGCCTGTTGTGGGTAGGCCTGGTAAGCAGAGCACACAGAGACTGGTGCTGTGCCCTAGCTGGCAAAACTACTACCTTTGTGAACAATTGGCGTAAATAAAGACATTGGAACAGGTATTAGAGATGGAGCTGGTATTGTGGCATAATGGGCAAGCCACTGCTTGCAGTGGTGGCATCCCATATGGGTACCGGTTCGAGTCCTGATCAGGTACCTTGCTAATATGCCTGGGAACGCTTCAGCACTGCAGCCCTTTGGGGAATGAACCAGAGGATAGAAGATCTCTCCCTGTCTCCCCTTCTTTCTCTTTCCATAACTTTGCCTTTCAAATAAATAAATGACTTTGAAGAAGGAGGAGGAGGAAGAAGAAAAGGGGGCTAAATGAAATATACCACCACAGAGAGGCAGGAAAGGGAGACATGGGATGCTGGATGAGGCATCTGAAGATTTGGGTTCACACTGATTACTGTCTCAGCCCACAATATGACCTGGGAAAGTTGCCCCGCTTATCCACGTCTCGGGCATCTAAGATGTCAAACAATCACAATCATGCTGATTTATTTCACTGAAGGATAAACTGGACTAGAATGTGAAAATATCCTGAAAGATACCAGGTTGTGAAGTGGCATAGTTGAAATGCATAACATAACAACTTTAATTGGAATGGCAGTTCTTCCTCTTATTGTACTCATATTAACACGAGGGAGCTAGCAGTTGGAGTATCATACTGGCTGCTGGCCAGTCTGTTTGACTTCAGGCAGTCTGACTTTGCCATGAATGTTGCCATTCTCATAACTTCAGCTTCCCCAGACACTGAAAATGTGCCTCCCACCCAACAATGATTTTGAATATGGAGGTAGGGAGTGGTGTCAGAGAAGGGATCCACTGCAGAGGAAATACGTAACAGAAGCTGCTGTGCCCCTTGCAGATTGAAGACAAACAGCTCCAGGGTTATCTGAGCTTCGCCCAGTGACAATTATGTTTGTGAACCTGTTATTTCAAGACCGAAAGAAAGCCAAAGTGTTAGGCTCGGCCATCCAGGATGCCTGTGTGCACATCAGTTCTGTCCTGAATGTTTTCCGAGGCCAAATCAACAAAATCTTCATGTTTGACAAGGTAATTGGGAGCTAAGGAGCCAGAACCCGTTCATAGTTCAAAGGTGACTTTCATGGTCAAAGCACATTGGTGATTTGGAGGAAATGGACACTAAAAGTGCAATTTAGAAACATGATAGTTTAACTGGCAGGTGTTGTTAGGGTCCAGTTTCACCAATGTCCTATGAACGACAAAGAACCTCTCTGGTAATGCAAAAACAAGCAGAGTTTATTGTTCCAGCATGCTGGAGTCAAGACCGTTCTTGGGGCATGCAGGCCAGCCAAGAAGAGGTCCGACCCCCAAACCAGAAAAAGCCAGTGATTATATAGGCCTTTTCAGCCATTCCATGCATCATAGCCCACGCAAATCCAAACGCAGCAATCAGCTTAAAGAGTAACATATCTTAGCAGCTCATCCTGTTCCTGGAACTGGGCAATTGCACCCCCATCTATCTGCACCTGGGTGTATTTTATAGATAGGGCTTGCGACCCTGACTCCTCCTGACTTAGTAAAGCAGCATTTTCTTGTCACTCAGGGGCCTAACACAGTCTAACACTCCTTGACAGTGTATTGCTACCCCCAAGCAGTGCTCTGTGTACTTTGTCTAAAGTCGCTCATTTCATCCTTATGACTACTCTAAATAGTTGGTGCTTTTGCTATAATCTTCATTTTCTAGATGAGCACGCTGGGGTGGACATGAGGGTACCAAGACAAGGCCAGAGGAAACTCTGCCCATGATCATCCTGCTGGTGTGTGATGTTGTGTGTGCGTGTGCGAAGTTGTGTGTGTGTGTGATATGTATGTGCGTGGGTGTGTGTATGTGTGTGTATGGTGGGGACTGGGACTTAAACCCAGGTGGTCTCGGGCTGGCCCTTCCCAGTCTACAATCAGCAGGCCCAGCCATGTATGCATTGTCTTCAGCCCAGCGTGTAGTATATTACCCAGGGATTTTAGGACGGGAGTCAGGATGCTTTCTTATCCCAGAAGCTTCTTCCCAGTAAGCCCCGCCTGCCATGTCATCACCTCCAGGGGAAAGGAGCACGCTTCCCACTGTGGGATGTCTTTTGTGTATGTGAAATCAGTTGGGAGAAGGACAATGTGATGACGAATGGCTGCAGAAGGGTTAGTGAGAATTGGTCCCCCTCTCCGCACGTTGGTGTCATAGAAGAGCACGTCATTGCCGCCTGCATGTGCGCACTCACTTAGGCCATCGGCATTTAGCCAACAGTTCCCGGAAGGCTGGAGCTTGGGCTGAGGACACACAGTGCCTCACACACACGCACACAGTGCCACTCAGCTGGGCAAGGAAAGACACATTTTAAATTCCTTGAGTATCTGACACTTGAACAAATTCTTTTTACAGAGCGTTGAAGAAGTTCAGGTCTTTTAGTGTTTATTTGCATTTCTTTTTTTTTAATTTGCATTTCATCAGGATACAACAAGGATAGCTTCAGTTTTGTTTTATTATTTATTTATTTATTTATTTATTTTTGGACTCAGTTTTAACTTGACAGGTGAACGCACACGAAAAGCTCAGCATGACTCATCATCTCTAGAGCAAAAGCAAGCCCTTGCCAAGGGTTCAAGAGTTCTGTTGATGATGCACTAGATGTTATGTGAGGTTCATTAAAAGGATGTAGAAGTCATGATGAAATCTGAGTCAAGATGTGCAAATTGCTGCTGCCTGGCTGGTCCGGTTTATAGCTCACCTTCCACAAGCTGCACCTGCTGACTGTTCCCACCGGGATGCTCTTTTCTCTGCGTCTTTGGCTTCCCTGGGGAGAAAGCACCTGATGAGGAAACTCGTGCTTTGGAAAGTGCCATGAATGTATTTGACTTCTGCTCTCAGGTCCAGAAAGTCCAGTGAGTGTCGACCCTGATCCCATCCGGTGGACCCTGCCCTTTTTTAGAGGATGCAGAGGTGGGTGTGCAGGGGACGGAGAGGGAGAACTGAAAGCTTCGTCCCGTGCATCCAAGTGTCCCTCCTTCACCTCCCCAGGCCATGCACATGCCTTGAATTCATTCCAAAGGCTAGAAGAATTCTTTATGAGAGGCCTTTCGCACTCCTCTCCACGCCCACTCGTTATTTCTCCCACCTTTCTACCTCCTGTACTCATATTCTCTCTCTTTCCCATAACCCTCTTCCCGGCACAGTACTGTCTCCATCGGTGTTGCGAGCGGGATTGTCTTCTGTGGAATTATCGGACACACTGTGAGACACGAGTACACAGGTGCGCCAAGCCAACTTTTCCCCATTTTTCTTTCTGCTGGACTTTTTTTTTTTTAATTGACAATCTTTAATTTGACAATCTTTACATAGTTAATTAGGGTAAAGAGGTTCAAGGGCTACAAAAAAGAGGGTAAGACTATTTTTTTTTCCATATTGTTTCCTTCATGTTTAAACGGGGGTATTAAGGGAGAAGGCCCACCCAACTTCCCACCCTCTTCAGGTCCCGGATGTGGGGTATGCTCTGAGGTTCTTGCTCAAGTGGATTTGATATTCCAACAGTTATGAATCGCTGCCAATCTTGCCACCCCAAGCACTATGAGGTCCTTGAAGAATCCACTGATTGACATAGTCCATCATAAAGTCTCTGTTTGCCCTGTGTTTTGTTTCTGCTAGACTTTTAATAAGGAATAAATGAATGACACTTGAGCCCTGCCCTCGGAAAGCTTACAGTCTTCCAAGTGGAGCTATGCAGCTAGGCCCATAGACAGCCTCTGCATGTTCGCCAACTATGCACTTTGGGTGTGTTTGTGAGGGTAATATTTACGTAAGCAGACAAAACATTAGACATGATAGTTAAGACCGTTGTGTCCCATATTGATGTACCTGGGCTTGCACCCTTCTCTGGCTTTTGACTGTGTCTGCCTGAAAATGCAGATCCTGGGAGGCAGTGATGATGGTCCAATTAATTAGGTTGCTGAGTTCCCAGCTCCTGGCTGTGGCTGTGGCCCAGTCCCAGCCACTGTTTCTCTCTCTCTCTCTCTCTCTCTCTCTCTCTCTCTCTCTCTCTCTCTCTCACACACACACACACACACACACACACACATTTTGTAGACTGACCTCATTTTGCGGGGAGATAAAATGAATTGAGCCAAGTTGACAGGTAGCAGATAGGACAGTGTGAGCTCTGGCTGCTTTGGGCAGGCTGGCCAGAGTCATCAAAGAAAGCAGGTGCAGTTATTTTTGGATTCTTCACTGACCCTTGGCAGTCCGGCCCTGGCGGGCATGTGACCATCTCTGCCGGTGGTGGCGGGTGTGACCTTTCAGCGTGAACTCCATCCCGGTGAGGTCAGGCTGCTCTCATTGCCCTCATCACGACTGTCTCCTGTTCAAAGGCGGTCAACCAGATGTCCTTCAAAGACATTGTTCTTAATCCCCTAAATGTTTTATCATGAAAAATAATCATCCCGTGACCCGCTGTCCTCAACTGCTCCAGTAACATTTTTAACTTAGCTTTTCTTCCTAACCATTCTTTCCATCTGCTAAAGGCTGTGATAAAGCTGCTGTTTAAAGTGAAATTCTGACCTTACCTGGTTCCTTGCTCGAGTAGATGAGGATTTAACTGTCATACCACTCCTCAGCAACCCCTTCCCCTATATTCTTCTATTATTCCCAGGCGACGTGAAGGTGTGACATGACAGGCTGCAAAATCATTCATTCCAGAACCAACTAATACACACTACAAATAGATTTCTTAATAAATGTTTACCTCTCCGAGAGTGTCTAGAAGACTGCTTCTCGCGATGTTTTTCTTGTAATTTCCTGCTTTAGTCTTGGTTGGATATTCTTTGTTCTCCCGACAAATCTTTCAAAATGTGGGGGAGGGGTAGCATGACCTTTAGGTAATGCTGGGCAATGACAGCATCGGAAGAGACACCTGTTAGTGCGAAAAAGCTCTGAAGCACCCGAGTGGCCAGGAAGGCAGCTGACTGTATATGAGGTCATAGTTCAAGTAGCTGTCAGGGCTTAGGGATGTTACATTGAAAGTCATTGTCATAATGTTGGAATTTGAAGTCATGGGGAGACCTCTTGAGAATTACATAGCATTGTAAATTTCTGCTTTTCTTCCTATTGTTGATTTTGTTTTGTGGCTTTTCATGGTGACTGTGTAATGGAGTCTACCATGTCCAGATGTGAAAATACAACGCAGTGGGCATCTCTACTTCCAGGCAAAGATGGACTCCCAATGAAACTGTTTACTATATCTTGACAATAGGATGCTGGACTCTGCCATTGTCTGTGCCTGCAATGATGGACATGTGACTGTTTATGAAAAACTCTACTATAGTATTAAACAAGGGAACTCAGTGGGGCAGGGGGGAGGAGATGGAGGGTGGAGGTGGGGGAAATCCCAAGGCCTATGAAATTGTATCATAAAATAATAATAATAATAATATCATGGGGAGATGGAATTACCTAAGAGAAACTGGCTGGAGAAAGCAGCCCAGGTCCAAGATGAGGCTCATTGATACTGATAGTTTTGTTGAACTTTTTAAATTATTACATCTTACTTAATTACATTTTTAAAAATTTTTAGCAGATTCAGTGTAGTTCCTAGATACAATTCTAATGACATAGTGATATTCTCTCCTTCCCTCCCTGTATATTTTCTCCCCATCCTCCTTCACTCTTAAATTCACATTACAATAATAACGTTTAATGCTTCACTAAATAAGAACTTATAAGCAAGTATAAAGCAAAAAGATCAGGCTGGTGCAGAAGCCTAGTGGCCAAACTCCTCACCTTGCATGCACAGGGTTCCATATGGGTGCCAGTTCATGTCCTGGCAGCCCGGCTTCCCATCCAGCTCCCTGCTTGTGGCCTGGGAAAGCAGTCCAGGACGGCCCAAAGCCTTGAAACCCTGAACCTGAGTGGGAGACCCAGGAGAGCTCCTGGCTCCTGGTGCTGGATTGGAGCAGCTCTGGACATTGCGGCCACTTGGGCAGCTAATCAGCAGATTGAAGATCTTCTTCTCTGTCTCTCCTCTCTGTATATCTGACTTTCGAATAAAAATAAATAAATCTTAAGAAGAAGAAATCACAAGTCATTAAAGCAATAGTATCTTGCAATCTCACCCACTGAGTTGACAAAGGTATTTTGGGCCTGCCGCGATAGCCTAGTGGCTAAATCCTTGCCTTGTATGCACTAGGATTCCATATCGGTGCTGGTTAGTGTTCCAGCTGCTCCACTTTTCATCCAGTTTCCTGCTTTTTCCCTGGAATGGCAGTAGATGATCCAAAGCTGTCAGACCCCGCACCTGCATGGGAGACTTGGAAGAAGCTCCTGGCTTCAGATTAGCTCATCTCCCACCATTTTGGACAACTAGGAAGTGAACCACTGGATGGAAAACCTTTCTTTCTGTTTCTCCTTCTCTATGTACATCCACCTTTCAAGTAAAAATAAATCTTTTTCTAATGCTTTTGGGGGAGGAGGGTTGCTTGTTTTCTTAAAGATTTATTTATTTTTTTATTGCAAAGTCAGACACAGAGAGGAGAGACAGAGAGGAAGATCTTCCATCCAATGGTTCACTCCCCAAGTGAGCGCAACAGCTGGAGCTGAGTCGATCTGACGCCAAGAGCCTGGAGCCTCTTCCAGGTCTCTCATGCGGGTGCAGGGTCCCAAGGCTTTGG